CTTAATTTCAAGAGAGATATGTTATTTTGTTATTCTTTTATACTTGTAATCTTGTTCTAAGAATAAGGAAAGAATAACAGTTTATAATCAATCATTGTTGTTCCTTGTTGTTTTACCTTGTTATCTTTGTTAACCCTAACCCTTATGTGTTTCTTGATCATAAAGAAATAATTTATATTTTGTTTCAAGACATCCAATTCACAACAAATTGGTGCGGTGAGCGTGGAGAAGATGCATTCAACAAAATATGAGATTGAAAAGTTCACCAGAGTGAACGACTTCGGTCTGTGGCGCTTGAAGATGAAAGCCCTATTGGTTCAGCAGGATTGTTTGGAAGTGTTGAAGGGAGAGGCAGCCATGGACACTGCGTTAATGACAAAAGAAAAGACGGACATGATTGAGAAATCCCACAATGCAATATTGTTGAGCCTTGGTGATAAGGTTCTTCAACAGGTATCAAAGGAGACTACAACATCGGGATTATGGGTGAAACTTGAAAGTTCTGGTGAATTGACTCCATCTGAAGTAACCTTTGTATTCGTTCAAGATGAGTGAAGAAAAAGTGTTGATTGAGCAGTTGGATATGTTCAACAAGCTGATTCTTGATCTTGAAAATATTGATGTGAATATCGATGATGAAGATCAAACACTGTTATTGTTGTGTGCTTTGCCCAAAACACATGCTCACTTTAAAGAAACTCTCTTGTATGGAAGGGAGTCCTTGACCATTGAAGAAGTTCAATCAGCCTTTTATTCTAAGGACTTGAACGAATGAAAGGAACATAAACCTTCGACGGTGAGCGAAGGTTTGGCCGTTAATGGTAAATTCTTGCAAAAGGATGGTAAGTTCGACAAGAAGAAAGGTAAAAGTCAACAGAAGTTTTATAGTGGCGAAACATCTGGTATTCGATGTTATCACTGTAAGAAGGAGGGTCACACAAGAAAGGTGTGTCCTGAACTCCTAAAAGATCATGGAGGTAATGGCAACGCAACCATTGTTCAAGATGACTTTGACTCATCTGATGTTCTTGTGGTTTCAAGTGGTAACTTGAGAAAAGAGTGGATTATAGATTCAAGCTCCATGATGAGTCAATAAGGTTATTGACTGAAGTCAGGTATGTACCTGATTTGAAGAGAAATTTGATTTCTCTTGGTGAATTCGACAGAAAGAGATATGTTTTTCAAGGAGAGAAAAGTATCCTAAGAGTCATGAAGGGGTCAAAGGAAGTCTTGAGAGACATGAATAAACAAGACTTGTATACCCTTGAGGCTGAGGTTGTAAGTGGTTCGACAAATGTTGCGTCCACGAAACCTGTGTCGAAGACAAAATTATGGCACATGAGATTGGGCCATGTCAGCGAAAGAGGCCTGGTCGAATTGGGGAAGCAGAACCTGCTAGGAGGTGACAAAGTCGAAAAGTTGGAGTTTTGTGAATCTTGTGTATTTGGTAAATCTTGTAAGGCGAAGTTTAACAAAGGCAAGCAAAGAACACATGGATCCCTGTATTACATTCATGTTGATCATTAGGGGCCTATAAAGAATCCTTCACACTTAGATGCAAGGTATTTTCTATCCATCGTGGATGACTATTCCAGAAAGCTATGGGTATTCATTCAGAAGACGAAGGATAAAACTTTTGAGAATTTTAAAAGTTGGAATATTTTGGTCGAAACTCAAACTAGCATAAAGGTTAAGAGGTTGAGAATCGACAATGGCCTTGAATTCTGCAACAAAGCGTTCGACATTTACTGTGTTGAGTCTGGGATTGTAAGGCATAAGACTGTAGTAGGTACACTGATCGCGACTTTCTATGTCTAACTCAATTAACTGCAAGTGCACAGTCTATCGTGTAGTAATAATAGATATCGATCCCACAGGGACTCGTAATCAAACTAGTATTATCGGGTGTTACGGTGTTTAGCTAGGTTGGTAATATTTTAGGGGAATAATAACAAAATAAGTGCGTAAACTAAAGGGAACTAAAGCTTTTACTTAAGGTATAAATGCTTGAATCGGTATGTAATATGTTACTTCTTCAGGGATTCTATAGGTCACTGGTGTCTTTAGGTTTTCAAAAATAATTTAAGAAGAAAATCATGGTTTAAAGACCTTTGTCTCACGATGGTTGTTGACGCTGGTCCTAACTCTAAGGCGGAACGTATGCTGTCGCTATCCCGTTCGGGGTTAAAGATACCTTTTGAAAACTATTAAGTTCTAATTCTTTTTAAAGCGATGTCGCTGTTTTTAAAATGAATGCCTAGTTTTTACTATCTGGTCTTAGCCTCAGTTGTCGCTTGTTGGTTTGTACCTTTATGAATTTCCCACTGTCGTGGCAAAACTACTGTAAATAATTTCTCGCTGTCGCGACGAAGGTTTATTTAGAAAAATCGATTTAAAAACTGAAGCCATAAATAAGTTTTGAAAAGGTAGATATACACCGGTTAATTATCGAATCCCATCAGATTATTTATTACATACCGATTACTTAAGATTTAGCCAA